AGGTCACTGTCTCACCGTGAGGGTGGGCCCTGCAGTGACCAGTGCGTAGATGAGAGCAGGAGGCACTCGGCTGGCAGCCTCAGGCCCTGGGTAGGGCTTGGCATAGGTACTGTCATAGCAGAAGAATCCCTGGGTGTGCACGGGGAAGGTGTCCGTGAACTCCAGGCGGTAAGCAAGCAGGATCACAATGCCCAGCAGCACCGACTGCCACCGAGCCAGGGCAGGGAGAGGCAGCAGAGAGAGAAGAGAGAGGGTCAGGGCCCCAGCTGAGGCCACAGAGGCAGAGATACGAAGATGGAGAGACCTGGGTTAGACACAGAAGGTGGAAGACAGAGAGAGATGGAGACAAGGGGGAGAGAGACTGAAAAAGTTGGGGAAAGGAGGTAAGAGAATGGTCAGGGCTTAGGAGAAACGGAAAGAGGAGGAGGCAGAAACAGAGACAGGCCATGTGCAGCAGCTCGTGCCTGTAATCCCAGCACTTTGGGAGGCTGAGGCGGGAGGATCGCTTGAGCTCAGGAGTTTGAGATCAGCCTGGGCAACATAGCGTGACCTCATCTCTGCACATCTATAGTCCCAACTAGTTGAGACGCTGAGGAAGGAAGACTGCTTCAGCCCAGAAGGTTAAGGCTGCAGTGAGCCATAATGGCACCACTGCACTCCAGCCTGGGTGACAGAGGGGGACCCTGTCTCAGAAAAAAGAAAGAAAGAAAAAGGAATGAAGAAAGACAGAAAGAAAGAAAATAAAGAAATAGGTGGTTCACGCCTATAATCCCCAGACTTTGGGAGGTTGAGGCAGGTGGATCACCTGAGGTCAGGAGTTTGAGACCAGCCTGGCCAATATGGCAAAACCCTGTTTCTACTAAAGATACAACAATTAGCCAGGCATGGTGGTAGATGCCTGTAATCCCAGCTACCCGGGAGGCTGAGGCAGGAGAATCACTTGAACCTAGGAGGCAGAGGTTGCAGTGAGATCATGCCACTGACTCCAGCTTGGACGTAACAGTGACTCTGTCTCAAAAGAAAGGAAGAAACAGAGAGAAAGGAAGTGAGGAAAGGAGGGAAGAAGAGGAGAAAAAAAGCAAGAGAAGAGAGAAGGGAAAGGAGAAGAAAAGGGAATTGTACAGAGAGGGAGAGAAGAGATGGGCATGGGGAGAGAGAACAGGGCCAAGGCTCAGATGAGAGACAGACAGACAGCAGGTGGTGGAGAGACTCTCCCACAAGGAAGGAAATCAGAGGTTAGTAGGAGTACTAGCAGCTACTACAGGTCTAACCCTAACTGTGGGCCGGAGGGTCATACCAAGCCTTGTCCAATAGCCCTAGGAGCCCGAGTACGGTGGCTCACACCTGTAATCCCAGCACTTTGGGAGGCTGAGGTGGGAGCATCACTTGAGGCCAGGAGTTCTAGACCATCCTGGCCAACATGTTGAAATTCCATCTCTACCAAAAACTACAAAATTAGCCAGGCGTGATGGTGCACACCTATAGTCTCAGCTACTCAGGAGTCTAAGGTGGGAGAATTCCTTGAACTTGGGAGGCAGAGGTTGTAGTAAGCCAAGATTATGCCAGTGTACCCCAGCCTGGGTGACAGAGTGAGAGCCTATCTCAGAAAAAAAAAAAAAAAAAGCCCTAGGAGATGGGATGCTGGTGATGCCCATTTTATGAATGAGGAAACTGAGGCTCAGGAGGGTACCTGCGGTGTCCAGCATCCTGCAGTGTCGATAGGGCAGAGGAGGATTGGACCCTGGGGAGTGGCACTTCTGAATCCAGGCTCATGATCACTTCTCAAGAGAAAGGGGACCGCAAGGGAGATCCCAGAGATGGAAAGTGGGTACAGATAGGAAGACAGAGGTTGGACAGAGACAGAGATAGGCACACCCTCTCTGGGAGAGGAATGGAGGTCCTCACCTCCACGAAGACAAAGCAGGGGATGATGGAGAAACTCCTCTTCAGATGCGGTCTCCCTCCCGCCATGGTGAAGGCCAGGCCTGCAGAGTGAGGAGGCAGTGGGAGTCCCAGGGCTGTGCCTAGGGGAAGGCTCAGGTCACTGGGACTCTGGCCCCATCCCTGAGTCCTTTGGCCACACCCCTGCCCCTGAAGATGGGTCCAGGGAAAGCCCTGACTCCACCCCTTGAGCCTTCTGGCCATGCCTCTGCAATCCAGGTCCCACCCTGTTGGTCCCAACCCTATTGGGGACACCCACCTCCCCTGAAACCACTCCCTGAGATTCTGGAGATTCTATAAGGGTCCCCTTCCTCTACAGCTGACAAGGGATACTCTGGGCCAGTGGCTTTTAGGAGATGGTCCTTGAGAAGAGACTCTCCAGCCTCATGGGAACCCCTCCCACATGGCATTTAGAAGGGCCCCCAAGGCCAGGTACGATGGCTCACGCCTGTAATCCCAGCACTTTGGGAGACCCAGGCAGGTGGATCACCTGAGGTCAGGAGTTTAAGACCAGCCTGGCCAACATGGTGAAACCCCCTCTCTACTACAAATACAAAATTAGCCAGGCTTGGTGGCAGGCACCTGTAATCACAGCTCCTTGGGAGGCTGAGGCAGGAGAATCATTTGAGCCCAGGAGGCAGAGGTTGCAGTGAGCCAAGATTATGCCACTGCACTCCAGCCTGGGCAACAGAGTGAGACTCTGTCTCTTAAAAAAAAAAAAAAAAGAGTCCCCACTAATTTTTAGGGAACCCCATCCTCTTTCCCAAGGGGCCCCCATCCCTGCCAGGCCCTTCCCCTGAGTCCTTTCCTCCATGGCTCCACAGGGGCTCCTCTCTCTGTCCCCATGGGCTGTGGTGTTGGTGTCTGATTGGGCTGATAGCCAAGCCCTCCTTCTCTGCCAACTGCTTCTCCTTCCTTCCCCCTCTTCCCAGCCGGTCTGCCTCTCAGTTCTCATCTTCCCTCCCCCAAGGCTACCCCCAGTCCCCAGCGCTTCAGGGCTCAACACAGTCACACCTGCTTACACCCATTCTCACCTGTGAAAGCGCCCTATGGCTTCCCCCAGGCTGCATCCACACCCGCAGACTCACAGCTGCTCCTGGTGGCCAGCAGGACAGGGATGGTCACCCCCATTGTGCAGATGTGGAAACTGAGGCCCAGGCAGGTGAGGGTAGGCACTCTGGGTCCAGCGCCCCAACCACGACACTCATTCTGTAGTGTGATATGGGGTGATGGTTGCCAGAAGTCCTAGAAACCCAGAGTCACCCATGCTGGCACCCCGAGGAAGCACAACCCAGCCACAGCCTCCATCCTACCCCCCCCCCCCACACACACAGCGTTCATCCATCCCATGGTAAAGACTGGGCACTAGCCAACTTCCAGGCAATGTGCTGGACGCCACTTTGCAGTGAACAAGACGGGGCCGCTCGTTCAGACAGGTGTCCAACACACACAACAAACGTCACTGCATACTCCCAGTGGGCACACAGCCTGTCAAAGACACCCAAAAGATCAAACAAGTCCCCACCCCCCACCCCAGGCCAAACAGAGTGAAACACATCAGGAGACCCTACACACATCACAGTCCCACACAAGCCCTCACCCCGCCACAGTCAGGGACACACAGGCCCGCAACACATTTAAGAGTCACAGGAAAGAAAGAGTCACCGCACACAATGGGGGTCACAGAACCCATCACAGCGTCACACCCCCAATTACAAGGCACTCAGTGACAGCCACACACACACTAACAGTCTCTTATTCACACCGACAGTCATAGGGGAGAGACACGGTGCCATCCACAACCACAGCCACATGGCCACGTCCACGGACCATGGCACAGACTCACAGCGCCACACAAGAAAGGCACACGGTGCACAACCACAGACACACACACACAGACACACACACCATCAGAATAAGCACAGAGCAGTAGCCACACAATGACAGCCTTACTGTCATTGCACACAACCACACAGATGCCAAGACAGTCACACACAGAGACAGCAGCCACACGGGGGGCCAATGGCAGCCACAGCACAGCCACACACATACCATCCGAGTGACACCCACAACGACAGCAGCACAATGACAGTGACACACACCCGCGGACCTCCCGAAGCCGCACAATCCTGGTCGTGCAGCCACACGATGTCAGTTACACAACCACACACAGACACACAATGACAATCACACAATCACAGTTACCCACGGCCACCCTCACCACGGGCGCTGGGCTCCTCCGCCCGGGGTCTCCTCCCCCAGCTCCGTCCCCTCCCCCGCCCTCGCCGCCTCCCCTCCCCCGCCCCTCCCCGCGCTGGACCCGGAGGCACCCGACCCTCAGGAACCGGGGAACGAGGCCGGGGGTGGGAAGCCCACCAGAGGGGATGAGGGGCGCCTGCAGCCCCTCTCCTCACCGCGTCGAGGCCGCAGTCGCCTAAGATCCCGCTCCGCCTAGATGGCCCCGGCGCGGCGAGACGGACAGACTGCCGGCCCGGCTGGCAGGCGCCGAGACCGAGATGAGGTCGGCCGGGCCGGGCAGCGCCGCGCAGACTCCGAGGCGGAGGGAGGGGCGGGGCCTCCGGGCGCCTCCTTTGCATAGCCCCCCGTAAGGCGGGGCCTCATTAGCGGGGTGGGGCGGGGCCTCCTTGCTCTTGGGGGCGGGGCGTATTAGCATCAATTGTAGGAAGGAACCAAGAATGGATGTAAAGGAGGAAGACCCTGGGGTTGGAGAGGGCTCCAAGGGTAATAGAGGGAGGGGCTTCAGAGCATGTCCGTGCCCCTTGCTCTCTGGGCCTCAGTTTCCCCATTCACTAGGGACCCCTAGAAAGGAAGGCTCTATGGCCAGCGTGGAAGTCTGTCTGGCCCCTCGTATCTGGACAGAATGACTTCTTGCCTTGTCATGTATTAAATCTGGCTTCACCATGTCCCCTGATTCCAAGCCCACACATCCCAAAAGACCTCTGGGGTCTCTACACGCCGCCCCCGCAACACTGAAGAGTAAATTGGGAGGGCAGGGGGATTCCTAGCACAGGAAGCAGCAGGACTAACAGTCCAGGGCGAGAAGAGGGTCTCGGCTAGTTTATTTTCTCTCTGGAGGGGTCTTCAGGGAGAGCAGTCCCGGCTGCTCAAGCTGTGGAGACAGAGAGTGGGTCAGGGCCTGACCAGGTCCGGGGGACTCTGGGGCTGCAGGGCAGGGACCGAATGTCCAGATAGGGATCTGGGCCTGTCCCAAGGGTCTAGACTGGGAGTCCAGGGCTGGTCAGGAGGGAAATGGGTGGGTGGGGGGTGGGAAGAATCTGCACCGTGTGGGAAGGAACGACGGCTCTTGCTGAAAGGTGGCTGAGAGAGGTCCTCGTCAGAGTCAGAGTCAGAGTCCCAGGAGGGGAGTGGACGGCTCAGGTACCGGTGCCCCCTGTGGCCTGCAGGAGGGACAGGTACCCTGAATAGGACCCTCAAGTAACCTCCAAATATATGCCCTGTGTCCCTTCATAGTATACCTCACTGATCCTTAAACCACGACCCCCAAGTCCCTTGAATGTGATTCAATGTGACACCAAATTATGACTCCAATGACCCTTGAATTTCACCTGACTGACACCTTTTTTTGTGAGATGAGGTCTCGCTCTGTTGCCCAGGCTGGAGTACAGTGGAACGATCAGGGCTCACTGCAGCCTCAACCTCCCAGGCTCAAGAGATCCTCCTGCCTCAGCCTCCTGAGTAGCTAAGACTGCAGGCGTGCACCATCACCCAGTTAATTTTTAAATTTTTTGTAGAGATGGGGTCTCACTGTGTTTCTCAGGCTGGTCTCAAACTCCTGCACTCAAGCAACCCTCCCACCTCAGCCTCCCAAAATATTAGGATTATAGGCATGAGCCACTGCATGGGGTCCCCATGGACTCATATAAGATCCAAGTGACAGGGCCAGGCACGGTGGCTCACACCTGTAATCCCAGCACTTTGGGAGGCCGAGGCAGGCAGATCATGAGGTCAGGAGATCGACACTATCCTGGCTAACACGGTGAAACCCGGCCTCTATTAAAAATACAAAAAAATGAGCTGGGTGTGCTGGTACATGCCTGTAGTCCCAGCTACTCGGGAGGCTGAGGCAGGAGAATCATTTGAACCTGGGAGGCAGAGGTTGCAGTGAGCGGAGATCATGCCACTGGGTGACAGAGTGAGACTCTGCCTCAAAAAAAAAAAAAAAATCCAAGTGACACTGAATGTGACCATGAATGACTCCTGGATGAAAACTCCAGTGACTCCTTAATGTGACCCCAGAATATTACTTAATGTGACTACAGAATAACACCCAGCAGATGGATGTCACTCCCAAGCAGGCTCTCTGAACATAGCCCCCCCGCGAGTGAAGCTAGACAATGACCTCCCACCCCTGGACAATTCTCAGCCTCCCTCACCCCTGGGGCTTGAGGCCTTGGGATGAGCCCCCAAAGACATGGTGACGCCGTCGATGGAGTTCTGCAGCACATGCACAGCAGACCTGCAGGAAGATGAGGAGCTGGGGGTTCTGGGAGATTCCAGACTGCTCAGGGAGTGGACAGCAGTAGGACCAAGGTTGGGGGTCATGGTGGGGTGAGTCCTAGGGGGTGAGGGAGCTCTGGACTCAGGTGGGCTCCAGGTTCTGGAAGTCACTGCCAGATCCCGTTTGGGAAAGGGGTTCACACGAGGGTCAGGGGTCAGACTGAGGGCTGGGCATCACCATATGTCACTCAGTTCCTTCTGAAGGTCATCCTTCCAGCAGCCACCGGCTCCCTGCAGTATCTCCTCAGTCTCCGGCCAGGCAGATGTCCCATAACCCTGCTGCTTCATCTTGGTCAGGATCTGAGGTGGGGGGGATGAGAGAATAGCAATCATTATAATAGTGACAGTAGTAAAAGGTGACTTTTACACAGCACTTCTTATATGCCAGGCTGCATTCAAGTGCTTAATTCTCAGCTAGCACAGACACCTGATCAGGTAGGGATGAGTGTTTGTTGTTGTTATTGTTTGTTTTTTGAGACAGGGTCTCACTCTGTCACCCAGGCTGGAGTGCAGTGGTGCTGTCAGGGCTCACTGCAGCCTCAACCTCCCAGGCTCAAGTGATCGCCCCATCTCAGCCTTCTGAGTAGCTGGGTCTACTGGCACATGCCAACACACTCAGCTAGTTTTTTTTTTTTTTTTTTTGGTAGAGACAGGGTTTCACCATGTTGCCCAGGCTGGTCTTGGACTCCTGGGCTCTAGCCGTCCACTCACCTCAGCCTCCCAAAGTGCTGAGATAACAGGCATGAGCCACCGTGTGCTCAACAGGATGAGGGTTTTTTTTTTTTGATATGGAGTTTCCCTCCTGTCACCCAGGCTGGAGTGCAATGGGGCAATCTCGGCTCACCGCAACCTCTGCCTCCTGGGTTCAAGCAATTCTCCAGCCTCAGGTTCCTGAGTAGCTGGGATTACATGTGCCACCACACCTGGCTAATTTTTGTATTTTTAGTAGAGACGGGGTTTCACCATGTTGGCCAGGCTGGTCTCGAACTCCTGACCTCAGGTGATCCGCCCACCTTGGCCTCCCAAAGTCCTGGGATTATAGGCATCGGCCAGGATGAGTTATTATTACACCCGTTATACAGATGAGGAAACTGAGGCTCAGAGAGGTTGAGTGACTTGCCCCACAGTAACACAGCAGTGAGGGGCAGAGCTCAGATTTGAACCCAGTCTTCAATCTGATGGCAGAGGCTGACCAAAATCCCCATCCTTCCCTCTCCCATTCCTCCCCAGGGTCCCCATCTCCTCCACTCACTTTGCGGCATTTCACCTGCGTTTTCTGCATTTTCTGAATGTTCACCAGGTTCTCTGAGATCTCATCCTCCTGGGCCTCTGTGGAGGGAGGGAGCTCAAGGGAACAGGGGCTAATGAAGGATCCCCCCTCCCCCGCCCCTGGCTGTGGCTCCAGGCACTCACGGAGCTTCTGATAGATGCAGGTCACCTCTTCCCGAACCAGTTCCAGCTCCTCCCACAGGAACTTCTTGCTGAGGGGACAGTGCAGCCTAGACCTACACTCGCTGCCTGGACCCTGACCGCCCATCCCCCCAAGTCTGTACCCTCCCCACACCTCCCCGTCCATTTCCCCCCTTTCTACAACCCCTCTACCCTCATCCCCATCCTTTCCTTCTGATCCCCAGCCTCCCATTCTTTCAGCCTCTCCCAACCCACTCAGCCTCCTATCACCTGGCCTCCGCCTCCCCACCTCCTGTCCCCCGACTTTCTACACCCCCAGCCTCCTGTCCTCTCAGCCTTCCCTGCCACCTCCCCTTTCTGATCCCCTGGCCTCCTTTCTCATCCCATCTCCAGCTTTCTGTCTTCCCTGCCTTCCGGCCTCTCAGTCTCCCGTTCCCCAACCCCCACCAGCCACCTGTCTCCCCTGAGCCTCTCATCCTCTCCTCTTTTATTTATTTATTTTTTTTGAGGTAGCTGGGATTACAGGCACCGGCCACCATACCCGACTAATTTTTGTATTTTTAGTAGAGATGGGCTTTCACCATGTTGGCCAGGCTGGTCTCAGGGGACCCACCCATCTTGGCCTTCCAAAGTGCTGGGATTACAGCCATGAGTCACCGCACCAGGCCTCATTCCCGCTTGTTGTCCCTCAGGCTTTCCATCATCCCCCAGTCTTCCTCACCCAGGCCTCTGCCATTTCCCTGATCCTGCCTCGGTTCCCCAGTTCCTGACCTCCCTTACCTCCCGGGGACTCCCGCCTGCCCTCCCACCATCACTCACCTGTCGTGGATCTCCTGGGCCAGCAGCTGCAGGCAGCGAGTGGTGCGGGCGCGCTGCACCTCCTCACTGTCACGCAGGGTCTTCTCCAGCCCCTGCAGGCCTTGGGCCAGGGCCCCATAAAGCTCCTGCTGGCCCTGCTCCAAAGAGGGGCCCGACTTGTGCCCCTCCTTCTCTCCCTGGTGGCCTGTAGGGCTCAGCACGTCTGCAGAGAGTGTGGGACCTTGACTGAGCCCTGATCCCACCCTGAACCCAGCTTGTCCTAATCTTGGCCCAGAACCCAGACTCTCCCAAGACTCTCCCAATTTCTCTCACCCTGGCCTGGCCCAGCTGATCCCAACAGGACCAGCTTCCAGCCTGATTTTTTTTTTTTTTTTCTTG